ACAAAAATGTAAAATTAGATTCTCTCCCCCACCAGGGACCCACCTACATAGTGAGGAAGCCCTGAGTCATTCAGCTAGAACAAACAGTGGAGTGAGAAACATGCTTAGGGTAAAGGGGCTGTCATGGGTCCCTGTTAATGTAATAAACTGCAGTATGAACAAGCTCCATAGGGAGGGCCTTTGATCACACTAACATCTCCCATATGTCTGATTTATTTTAATCTAGAGAAAAAAAATCTGGTTACGTTTTTATCCCTCTTTTCATCCGTCTCTTTTGTGAGCGGTGAAACCTCTCTTTCTCTTTGCTTAATCACAGATACACACACACACACACACACCCACACATACAATCTCTATTGTACCTCCTTTTGCCTCCTTATATCCTTTCTCATTTTCACTATTGAGCCACTACCTCTCTATCTCTTTCTCACAGCTCTTGATGAGTTTGTCAGTCACTGAGGAGAGACAGGGATTTGAGCGAATACCCGGTACTCTGAACCTCCAGTGGAAGCCGATAATCCATGGAAGCGAGAGGTGGCGGCGAAATTCAGCTAATACTCAAACAATTGCCATCAGTGCAACTCCCACTGAGGTGACAAAGCCCTACACAAATTTGGCTGTTATTATGTGCAAACAACAAGCTCATATCCGTGTAAAAATGACTACGGCATAATGTGAGATGAAATTCTGTGAATTTGATTTATACAAAAAAAAGAAACTTGTGTTCCTGCTTTATTGTCAACACATCATGGATGATGATTAGCTGTAGATGACAGCTACTGAATCAGACATCATCAACACAGTTTCTTTTACAATAACATCTGAAAACAGTAATACATGGGAATGCTGAGATACTAAAAATGGACTAGTGACTAAAAGATTGCCGTTAGCTATTAGGGACAGAATTGTAGGATATGTAAATATTGTTGGCAGTCCTTGTTGGTTCAGCTGTCTTCTTTGGCTCAGAGTGTCACATGTGTACGAAAGAATTAAAATCCCTGAATTCAGTCATCATAATTAAGGCAGCGCTGACCTTTGAAAAAGTGCACCTTTCCCATTATTGCAATGAAGCGTTTCTATTATGTTTGAAAGAGAGAGAGAGTGAGAGCCTAAGCAGTGGATCAAAGAAACCAGCCTTTGACATTTTGCTGTGTCATGATAACCTTTCGGTAAAAAGGGCTTTGTTTTAACTTGGGAATAAAGCTTCTACAGTAGAGAAATAAGCGCACATATACAGCCCGAAAACATTGGACCAATGCTAAGAGATCTGTTTCAAGAGCTGAAGAATTTGAGAGAAAGTGTCAAATTGACTGTTGATTTTTCTGAGCGGTGTTGTAAATGCAACTTAAGTTATTATTTTCTAGAAATTAAACTAGAGGCCCGTATTTGTGGTCCATGTGGTATTGAGTAAGAACCCCAGGTATTCTTTAACCAGTCAAGTAAAGAAAAATTCACCTTCTACGGAAAAAAGTGACTAATTTAGTTCACATTTACCAAAATAATGTATTAATGGTATATTTGACAGACACTAATACTTAAATTCAAAAGTGGTATTATATTTAATGATAACAGCTGCATAGTTGATCATAATGGTACATCAAAAAATGGTCATTTTGACAGCTCTACACTGTTGCTGCTTGAGCCACCAAGGAGCTATCACAGAAAGCCTCACAGCCAAACTGCTGACAGTCTGGACTGACTGCTTCAAAGAACTAAATATTGGAGGTCTCAAATCAGAGCTTTTAAGACGATAAGGTTAAAACGTTGGTATGATGAACTTGGATATTCAGACAACTCACCGGCTGTGATTTACACAAGCTACCTGATAGCTACTGCTTTGAAACTGACGTCAAACTATTACCTAGATCTTTTAAGGAGAAGAAGCTTCACTGTTGGTCCTGATATAGTGAAAAGACTAGAGCTGTCTACTTATTGTGCTAAACATCAAAAATGATACAGAGTGGTTAGTCTTCTGTGAAAACCATCGTTGGCCAAGTGTAAATTTTACATGAACAGTTGTCATTACAGCCAGCGGAATCATCATTTGCTAGTATTCATGGAAGTGGCAATTAAAATCACGGCTTTTGTGATTTGAAAATTTCAATGAAAAAACAAATTGTTCAGCCCGAGCTGCTTCCACACCAGAAATCAGGTATTTCTTGGCAGCTGTCAGATGGTCACAAACTTAATCCTGTCCACGATTGCAAAAACACAGTTGATTAGCAAAGTGAAATAAATAAACTCACCACTGAGTTAGGTAGCTCAGCTTTGCCAGATTCTGTGAAAAACCCACAGTGCAAAAATTTTGTGAAAATTTATAATTTGCACAGGAGATCTGCCAGAAATTACATGTACATAATGAAACACAGGAATGAGTGTGTGTGTGTGTGTGTGTGTGTGTGTGTGTGTGTGTGTGTGTGTGTGTGTGTGTGTGTGTGTGTGTCTGTGTGTGTCTGTGTGCGCACGCATGGCTCTGCAGGTGGTGAGTGGAGGCTTAATGAAAGGGCCAGTTGTTTTGTGAGGCTGATTTACAGAGAGCAGATGGATCGGTCTCTCAGTCTCTCTGGTCTCAATCTTGTCCCACATTGCTGCTGTCGCCCCATTTAACAGCCAATTTCCTGCCAGCTCATCACAAACACACATAAAAACACACACGTACGCACACAAAGGGAGAAAGCTGCAAAAACAGTGTGTGGCAGTAGACCATCGAGACGCGCATAAAGGGAGAAAAGAGGGTGACACAGTGGGTCCGACACACAAACACATGTACCCAGACAGACTGTAGATGATAGAGACACAGGCATCTTTTGAGCACGGACAAGCAGAAAAGTATTTAAGTACATAAAGGCATGCACACAAATACATGTAGAGATATACACACATATACTCAAATACACACCCACACACACACACTCCTATGGGGAAGCACTGTTGGACACTATACAGTTTTTAATGAGCTTGCTCCAGATGTCTTCCCAGGCTGCAGCGCATGAGTAGTTGATTAATCAAGTACATTTTACTTAGAAACACTGACACATACACACTAATCCTAATCTATCACACAAACATAGTAATCTCAATTTATCACAAACACAGTAATCCCAAATGACCCCCCCCCCTCCCTCTGTCCTATTATCTCTCTCTCACACACTCATGCTGCGCCTGATTTTTAATATGCTTCTGCATCTCTGCCTTCAGTGATGTCTGCTATTTTCTGTTTCCATTTTCACTGGTTCATCATTCTCTGTGACAGATTACAACACATACTACATATTCACGCACACCAACACCTGTGACTGTTTCACACTTACAGTAACACCTTGTTTTTCACTTGCACTCACACTCACGCAAACACGTGAAAGCGCACACACAACACAGATTTCCTGTTTTAACTCTAATAGGAGGTAGAATTGGTTGGCCTCCACAAAATGACCTCTGGCTTTTAGTCTTTGCACCTTGTACAGCAGGAGATTTTACACTGGCACCCTTTTTTTCTGCTTTGCCACTGACAGTCAGCCTTCACTCTGACTTATGTGATATCGCTTGCTGGCCCAATGTGTTAATGAGCTTTCACTTGTCATATAAGGCTTTGCTGGACGCAGACTTGAGTGTACATGCAACCCAAGTACAGCAAACAATGCGCAATGATATGGAAATTCATGGTTATTAGGGTCATCTTTATCTGACAGTTAAGTCAGTGGACAAATGACCACATTGAGAAGTATCTTACCATAACAGAATGTGGGGTCTAACACAGTGATGCTTTACTTCCAGGTCATTTCTAATGTATTTTGCCCTGCCCTCATTTTCTTTTTGCCAAGCAAACCCACAAATCTAACATCAGTTGCTCTAAAAACTTGCCCTGCTTTTACAAATCTGCTGTTCTCGTTTTTAAACTAGCAAAACTATTAGTCCTAGTTAAATTTGTTTTGTGCTTGCTTGATTGTTTATTTTTCCATGTAATTTTTTGGTGAAGACATATCACATTCTTTCATACACTGGTTATAACAGTCATACAAGGTCAGATACAACCAGTGGCTAATGTTAAAGCTGTTTGTACTAAACTCAGACACTCTGGAAATGTTGGGAAATTCAATGCGTCATCATTACTGTAATCTCCACTTGTGGCTACAGTAAAAGTTTTATAGGCTTGCTTTAATGGACTCCCATGTGATGGCAAGTCTCAAAAAAACCCTGAGTGGGTTGAGGGGAGCTGTAAAATGCATTTTCGGCTGAATTGTTTATCGATTGTTTTTTTGTCTAAAGTCATCAAAGATAGTGCAAGAAAAAAGTGGAGAGAGTTAGGCTGTCAGTCTATGAACATTAAGTAGATTAATTCTGTTGTGAATTATGCATAGTTTTTAGTGTTTTGTCTAAGTGTAAAGTACTGTCAGCTGAGTAAACAACATGTCACCCAACATATACCGTATATATTAACATATATTTTCAGATATACAGTATGTCTCACACACTGCCGATGCATGAACTCTTTGTACTCTCAGGGCTGCCATCTCTGCGTGAGGGTGAAACCCACCGATATAATATTAGCCACCCACCCTGCTGTCACTGCTGGAGATCAGACCAGTAATTTCCAAGCTCCTGGCTGGCCACTTGGCTTTATGTCCGTCTCGCCACATCAATCTTCTTTTACAAGCATGTTGATTTATCTCTCACCACTTGACTGTGACTATAGAAAAAGCTGCTTTTCTGCCCATGGTTATATGAATGTAATGTTTTACTAATTCACTGGTTCTGCTACGACATTTACATTCACTTTATGATTTCTTTGCTGCATTCTGGTATTCCAGTCCTTTGTGGTTTCCATGGACAGGTGGTGCAGCTTTGACAAAGTGGCACATGGCAGTGAAGCGCCAGCAACACCACAGAGTTATAGCATCACAGTGAAGCAACTGTTGACAGATAAACACATAACACATGCACTCTCTAACATATACACACACACACACATACATACACACACACACAACACATGTCAGTACCTTCTGTGCGGATGGTGAAGGGGGAGTCCCCCAGTCTCTTGGCTGAGAACTGCCCCCCCAGAGAGGTCATTAGAAAGCACAGGCTGAAGAAGCCTATTCCCACCACGAATATCCTGCAACACAAGGGGAGGAGAGAGGGAACGGATGAAAGGGAAGTTGAGACAGGCCGACGCATTTATGGGGAAGGGCAGGTAAATAGATAGTTTGGGTGAGTAGTTGGGAAACATGAAGATGAGGAGAGAGGGAGATGGAAAGTGAGATATTTAGAGGCAGACAAAGGAATGGATAAAGCGTGAGAGGCGTGAAAAACCAAAGGAGGAATGTAGGCAGATGAACAGAACAAATATGGAAGACAGGTTTTACAGGGCAGAGTGATGGACAGTGAGAAAAAAAAAAGATGGAGGGAAAATACAGATGCAAAAACGAGAAGATAAGGGAAAACGTGGCGGAGAGCAGAAGAGGAAGGGAGGAGAGAAACGAAGAGACAGTCAAGAAACAGCAGGCAGCACTTCTCCAAGGCAGAGCATAAATAGAGCAATGATCACACGGAGAAAAGTAGAAACTTGAAGCTAAAGGGCACTTGAAACGTCTTAGTGCTGTGATGTTATTGCTTGGCATACATCTATGACGAGTGGCAAAATAAGGGTGAGCAGTTTGCCCCTGAATGCAGGGAAAATCAATGTGATAATTTATGAAATATCAGAGGTGCATAGAGGGGAAGGGAAGAAGAGGCAAGAAGAGAACAAAAGACGGACAAAAACATTAAGGCATTTAAGGTGAGTAAGATAAGCTAAAATGCCACATAAGTCTCTGAACACACAAACTGGTCTCACTCACCCCTCTGTCTGAACCACACAAAAAGTAGGTCAACAACAATGGACTATGCAATTCAGTCTTCACTGTGTGAGTTACCATATAATGTGGCACCCTGAGAAATAAAGGACAGTTGCTGTTTTGTTGTTAAACTGGTCCCAGGTGATCATATTCTCTAAAATCCATCAGGAATGTGGGCTCAGATCTATACTGCAGACCTGGCTTTGTAACATAAATTTCTGCTTTACGCTGCTTTGTGGCAGAGATCTGCTATTTGAAAAGCTACCGTTCCTCAGAGGGGAAAATAAAATGTGACTCTGTGTGGGTTCTCCCTTGTTAGACAGCCATGAGAGAATCACATCTTTGACTTAAAAAGAGTTGAAAATCAGGTCTTTTGTATCTGAGTAAATCCTGCCCTAGTTAAGCTACTCTCTTCAGTGTATATGGATCAAAGGTTATCTTATTATGCCAAGATTCTTCGGGGAACCAGAGAGGCAAAGCTGTCTGTGATTCTTATCCACTGGACAAAATACCAGTCAGCCTCCATGACTAACAAGTCAAGCCCTACTTTAAAAAAATAAAATGCTTGCTGCTCTGCTGCTAAACCCCACAAGAGAAACTTCTTGGAAGATTTTGCAAAAGTAATGCAGTACAAAGGCAGATTTATGTAACAGAACGAAGGCACCTAGACGACTCCAGCACTTAAACCATATATTTCAGCAGCTGAGGCCATTTTCCTAAATTTCCTCAATTATGTAAATTTGTTTGGATAAATGCATAAAAAATATGTACAAACAAGTAGTTGCAAATAATCTCCAGCATATGAGAAATGCATCCAAAGCAATGGAAGGAACGTAATAAAACACCAGGAAAAAAAAAGGAACTTGCGGGAGCTTTTGTAAGGGCCAACCCTCATGTAACCTGTAAACTTTTAACTTCTGCACCCAAGGTTGGAAAACTAAATCTTAACATAACAAATGAATGAATTATTCACAACCATTGCTTTCTCTTCAAAGCCAGGCAAGAGCTGTTTGCTTGGATGCATGGCCCAGTGTGAAATCTGACAGCACTTCCTGGAATGGTAAGTAGCTGCAGTCACGCAAAGTTCTGAACAAAACCTCTTAATATTGATGAGGCCATAAGAAATGAGTTCCTATCAACAGAAACGAAGAATGGCCACTTATAAGAGCATTTGCTGACTGATCTGACTGACCCAAAGGGATCAAGATGATGTTGAATAATCTGTTAAGTATAGAGCCTGGTGGTTTGGCAAGCTCCCAGGGTGACTTTATATTCCAGGACAGAGCCAATGTGTCTTGTGCCGGGTTGTAATTCACTCAGATGGCTTCAAGGACAGACAGTAGGATGTGACTTCTTTGAGAGAAAACTTTTTACTCTGGTACAACACAAAAAAACATATTGACATTGAATAATCATTATCTTCACGGCTCTTGTCTAATGGGTTGCATCAAATGTGATAATAGCTATCCAATCGCTCCAAAAAGTTAAGTCATTACAGTTAAATTGGTCATTTATCTTCATGTTCCATACATTCAATAAGCAAAGTGATCAGACCACATTCTGAGCTGGAGTTGGATCTAATGAATTACAGTACTGATTACACTTGGAACAAGACAAACAGTAATTTGTGCACGAATACATGTTGAAATTAGACCTCCAAATTCTGATTATCATCTTGAATGTTGTTGGAAGCAGATTATTAGACAACACTTTAATGTGACGATGACTGTGATCAGCAGGATTACAGCAAGAGGCTTCAAAGCAAAGTGTCAGCGTGTCAATGGCCGCTCCTGCGTTCAGCATTACTTCATTAATTTGCACTAAAAACAGAGGGAAACCGTAATCATACTTACATCACAGTCCCAGTATCTAAGCATATGCTCGTTTACTCTGCTTTCTCATATAGCTCTATGTCTCTCCCAGGATACTGTAGTGTTATGAAATAATGAAATATTGCCTCCATCTGTTCCAGGCATATTGTGGAATGAATTGGAATAGCTCAATCATTGTCACAGGAACACAGAGCAGCAATACAGTAACTGATGTGCATCCAAACCCATACAATCTTTATGATCAAGGGATTATTAGTCATGAATATGAAGCCATTTTCTACCTGTATGGATTATGCACATCTACACAACCATCTGGTCAGGAAGCACAGTAAGTGGAAGCTGATAATAAAAATCACTGACCTGATTTAGAACAATTATTCATTTTAACTGGCCCGATATTTGTTTTTCACTCTCATCCTCAGTGCCTTATATTAATACAATAAGAAAAACTAAAGAGGCCCAGGTTTGAAAGAAATGAAGGGGTTACGCAAAGGACATGATGCAAAATGGGCCGATTAAAATCACAGGTAAACAATCTCTGTGATCTAAGGATGAATAATCACATGTGTGCAGGGCAGGGAAACAGCAGCTATGGCAGCACAAATACGGATAGAAAAGAAGGGGAGAAGAAAGTGAGAAAATAGTCAGCTCATGTGGGTGAGCAGAGGCTGGTCTGATGACGTCCTAGGGCGATCGTTTCCTCTCTTATCATTTAGCCGTTTTCCAAAGTGGCGTTAGGTGGGTGATATGAGAGGATTAGGCCCCGGTCCTGCCTGACGAGTCTTTAATTAACAGGCTTAAAGTAAATGCTCTGCTCCCTATAATTGGATCAGAAGGAGAGATCTACTATCAGCTAATTGGCTTCCTCACACATGCCTCTAGGTAGATGATTTTGAAGCGAGGAGTTCTGCCAGGCGTGGAGGAGCCATGGTGTAGGTGTTACTTGGGGTGTTTTCCAAGAAACTTTCCCTGGCACCTGAACCAGCCTAAATTCTGTGAAGGATTCTGATTTCATGGCGTCCATACACACTGTCTGCATTTTGAGATAATGTTGATTTTCAAATTTCACATTAACTAGAGTATGACAAGCAGCATCTTTGGCTAAGCTGACGCTTTTCCGCTTTAGGTCTTGTCGACAGATCAGACTTGTCAAGTAATATTCCTGTTGCCCAAAAATGAGAAAAATCTGTCTACTGTGTCTGTCCTGGTGCTCCTGTGATCTAAGGTGCATGTTCACAATGTCCCTAGTTCAACTCTGCCCAGGAAGCTTTATTTCTCCACAGGTCTATGTTTTATTTTTTTTGTCTTGCCAAAATTATTCAATAAAGGAAAAATTTAATGAAAATGATCCGACCATTCATAGTAAAACAACTGAAAACCCAGCTCTAGGCTAGATATCTGGTTTCATTTTGAATGAAATCACCCGTGGCAAGCTCTCATTGTCTGCACTGTCAAGGCTAGTGCAGCACTGTCACAAAGCTGCTTAATTGAATGTGTTTGAATAAATGCTCTATCTACTGAGTGGATTGCAGGTGAAGCAATTCAGTGCAGCATGAATGTAACCATTACAAAGGCCTACTTTTTTTAAACAAAGGTTGCTGCACAGCTGCTACACCATTGGTCCAGCCCACTAGGAAATAGTTTTGGAAATCCAACAACAGTATTAGCAGGTGGAAAGTGAGTAAAAGGTGATTTGTAGTAACCATTTGGGGAGATACTTTAGCTCTTGTACCACAGATTGTTACTGCTGCTTTTAATCCCCAACTCCCAGGATAAAAAAAACAAAACAAAACAAAAGATTGATTAATTAGATGATTTGATTCAAAAGCATGCCTTCATTCTGTACCTATCTGGGCAAATAAAATAAAGCAGGTTGGCACAACATGGCTCAATGGACTGTAAAAGGATCAGCTGTTTAAGTGGTTAACATGTGTAAGAAATCCCCGCAGGTTTCCCCTTTACATCTTCACAAACAAAGCTCAGTCACACAGTGATAATGGAGCTATCCATGTGGTAAGAAACTAAGTTAGAGCTCGGCTGACTGGTAGTACAAGCTCACAACTGCTCTTTCATGATCTGCCGCTCAGTGTTGGCCCTTTATCCGTGTGAATCTAAATCTAATTCATCCAGTAGAAAAAAACACCTGGTGTGCCTGTGCATGTGCATGTGTGTAGGTGAGTGCTGACACACATATACACACACCTTGGCTCCACAGAGTACACAGAGACACAGTAGTGTATTTTCTCCGGGCTTTACAACCCAATTTAGCCATTATATTTCTATCCAGCTTTGGGACGTGTGTATGTTAAAATGTATGTCAAACGTATAAGCAGTGAGAACACATACTTAAATCAATATTGACCGACCACGATGCTCGAGGCTAAAGAGAAAACTGGGTACAAAATAACGTCGCCAGCTCTTTGTCTCTTACCTGAACGGCTTGAACGTTACTAGACATCTTCTGACCATTATTTTACCGTCGGTGGTGCCAGTAATCATTTCCCAAAACGAGTGACCCTTGACATTGTTAACCTCCCGACCTGGAACTTGAGGTGGCCAACCATTTTTATATGCGTCCGATCCAGCGGTCCACAGCGGCGGTCAAGTCGGGTTTTTTTAAACAAAAAATGCAGCCATAAGTGGCTTCTTTACCTCTCCGTGAGAAATGGTAGAAAGTTTTATTCAGCAAGTCTCTTTCCCGTGTGTGAAAATGTCTTTTAAAGCGTTATTCCGTCGTCAACCAAACACTCCGAATCGAAGGTGAAGTCGCCGCAGGTTGTGTCGACCGTTGGAGTCATATCCGATGTGAGTTCTTGAGAAAAAAAAATGGCGTTGTTATCAAAGATGTGATTTTTTTTCTCTCTATTTGGACGAGTTCACGGAGAGGAGAGGTAGCTTCGTGGACGACTCAACTTCACGGTGAAGCCAGTGCGAGTGTGGCCAGTCAGCCGTGTTGCCCTCATACTCATTCACTTCTCAGGAGGAAAAGTAGCTGTAGTGAGGTGATGAACGTCCGGTTAATCCTTTCAAAGTAGAAGCCCCATTTTCAATGCTGGCAACAAGCGTGTCATCAAATCGTAGGTAAAGCAAAAACTAAAGAACACTAAAATACAAACAGGACCACAAATTATGACTCAGGGTCATAACAATGATATTTTCACTCGCTATATCAGACCCCACAGTCTGAAGATTAGGCTGGCAATGGATAGATAGACTAGAAGATGAATGAAAATTAATTTAAATAGGGGAACATATCACAATGTTTTATAAAAACACATTACTTTAAGATTATAGCCATTTATAATCCTTAAATCACAATCTGCACACAACTGTGCAATAGTCCAAAGTATTCCAAAATGTATTTCTGTGGTGACATTAAAAGGGTGCAAATGTGTTACTTTGTGTGTAGCCTGATGATATGGATGGGCTGTTGGACAGAATTCTCCAGAGGTGATTTTAGACTGTGAGGTTAGGCAAAGAAGCCCATTGAAATAAATTATCTATCCCATTTTTTTATGTTATTGTGCAAAAAAAAATCTACAAAGCAGATCTAAAGCAATTCATTTTATGAGAAAAAAATGTTTTTGTAATCGACTTTACTGCAGGCTGACGTACTTAGACCACTGTTAAGTGCGAACATTGTGTTCTTTTATTTTGGAGGAAAGTTCCCATTATTTCCTATGCTGCTGTAGCTTCCTCCGGCTGACTTGATGCTGGTCCGGCTCCACAGTATTATAGAACGATCTGGTGGTGGGAAGGCTCCGCAGCCGCATTCACCTCTCTGCATGGCGCCACCTATGGCTTTTAAGTTTAAGAGTTCAGGTACTACTCGTAACCTCAACCTTTCTTGTCCCTGCCTCAGTAGCCTAATATGAACAAAGCATCGAACAGTTTGCTATAGCCTTTTCTTCTATGAAGCCTGTAAAAATGACCATTTCTTTATAGAGCAACGGTACAGTCCGTTTCGAGTAGGTCACTGACTCCCACAGGTGGTATCCAGTGCCTCATCAGCGAATGAGAAATTATTTAAATATTATTATTATTATTATTATTACATTTTCCGGAAGTAAAATGAGTTTGGACAACAGTTCTGTACACAGAGTAGGTTTCACTATACACACGGTTACATCTGGATTTAATAAATTGTGGAATAATTCATATTTCTTTTCAGCACCGTTTTTGGGGCTCATTGGGCCTCTACACTGCGATTGTGTATCTATTTGGTGATGACAGGGCATCGCTGTGAAGCAGTTCAGCACCACGGACAGCGAAAGTGATCAGGATGAACAGCGGCACCCAGCGGCAGGTAGTCTTACTGCAGCCACAGTATTACAGTAACAGCAGCAGCAGCAGCAGCAGCGGGAGTACTGATAATAGTAGTAGTTGGAACAAAAAACTTCATCAAACTTTATAAAACGTTAAAATAAACTTTTAAATAAATGAATAACTAAACTTACAGGGAAGGACACAGTACTGAAGAATACAGTTTATCAGTAGGCTTAAATACAACAGGAACCTTTTTTGTTGGGTTTTTCCCAATGGTCACTTAATAAAACATTTTAAACCTAACATACAACTTATTGCACCACTACAGTGAGAATCGACTCAAACAAAAGGCGGAGGAAACCAAAAGTACAACTCTAGACGACCTTATTTGTTCAGTTAAATGATTAGCAGTCAGCTTTAGTTGTGGCACAGATTATACAGTCTTTGTGGCCAGCGGAGCGTTGGAGCAGAAATGGAGGCAGAAGGGGGAGATCTGCAGGGGACCAGACTGAAGATGACAGTGAAATCTCAAACTCCCTTCATGCATCACTCGCCCTGGTACATGTGGATTTGACTGACAGCCCACCGCCCACGCCGGCTGTCCCTCTCTGTGGGTTGTGGGAATAGTTTCTGCACAGTAGTAGAAATCACTGAAGTCTGAAAAGCATTCTGTCAGATGCAGAGAATACCCAAAGGCAGGAGGCTTCACCTCTTCCAAAGCAAATATAGACGTTAACACCTAGCTCACTTTTAAGGAATCATTTAGGAAACTTTGCACTGTCTGTAGTCTATATGTGTTTTTAAAAAAAGTGGCAGGAGCTGCCCACTTCAGCAGCGAATTGTATTATTTCAATGGAAGAGGTATTAAGTCCAATTCTAGGGTGGTGAAAGTGTCACAGGTCCTGTCACAGCTATAATATGCCGCTTTTCGTTTTGTTAGTCATGTCCTCCTTTCCCTTAGTTGGTTAAGTTCGCTCTGCAGCACTTGTCACTATTCTTAATGAGCTGTCTACCTTGAAACAGCATCTAGCTTGAGGGTGCGCTAACCAGCAAGTGTAAAGCCACCTCAGGCACAGAAGAAGCAGGAAATCTGTAATAAAAAAACAAAAGGCAGTGCTGATGTTCAGTTCATCTATTATCACATCTTTTCTGCTAATCTTTTGGTGTTCAACTTTCTTTTTGTATTGCTTTGTTGTTGTTGTTGTTGTTGTTTATAAATGACTTTCCCACCCAGTCTATTGGTGGCCTCAGCAAATGAGATACCCTAATGTAGTGACGATTATAAACCAGTTCCAGGCCAGGGGGGCTAATGCATAAACGCAGTGTAATTTATCCTGTTTATCATGCATTGCTTTTTCATACAGACTTTGCATAATGTAGCTTTACAATACAAAATAATAGTTTCAGATAGGCCCTAAAACTGGCACTATACCCACAGTTTCCTGCAGGCCTTCACACCTTGTCAAGTGATTGTAACTAAACTAATCAATTGTGTATGGATTTGTTTTATGATCTGTCAGCTAATCAATATGACATTTTGCCAAATGTGCTCAAAATATTTAAACAGCCAAAGACCCATCAAAACACTGGTGCTCTCAGGAGAAACCCACCACAAGATATAATGACCTCTCTGAATCTACAGGATGGTAGGACGCCCTGAATAAACATATTATCAACACATTTCTTTTCTGGTGTGCTCTTTGGGACTATGTTTTCCAAATAAAACGTTATGATATCCACAGTGAAATAAAATGGTGCAAAATCATCTTTTTTGTAGCATATGGACAAGTTATTAAGTGAAAATGTAATTCATTAAATGAAACTATAATTTGAATTGAATAAAAAACATATAAATGAGACAACATTTCAGTACTGTACAGATTAAGCAGTATACAAATGCAACAGCACAGAAAATAAAAGAGAGCTGAAAGACTCTCGCACACTAAGACAAACACGCACAAAGAGACACAGAACGAGTGAAATATAGATCAAGAGACAATATTCCTCACACGTGGTGTGCTTAACACATTTTCATGTAGGATGGATGACTAAACTAGAAGCAGAGCACAGTCCATCTATCATCGGACAGGGACAAAGGGAGGAGAGCATACAGGCACATTTGTTTCTCCTGTTTCACAAGAACTTCTCTTATCTGGCCCACAAAGTTGTTATCAGATTTCAGTCACAACCAACTTTCTTACCAAGGGGGAGAAATGACTTTAAAAATAACTGGAACATACCAGCCCCAGATAGCATCTCACATAGTGAGTTAGTTACTGTTCATGCAGTGCGTAACTGTAGGCGAGCTTATGGCATACACAGGGAAAAGTACATCAAAATGTTCCTTACTATAAAGAGAAAAGTTAGAAACTGATGGAAATGTTCTTAATTAAATTGCAAAAGTATTACACTGATGTAATATAAAAAGAAATCTTTTTAAGCGTGGATTTAAGGAGATTGCCTTGTTGCATTAAATTTAATATTAGAAATATTCTGAAATGATCTGCATTTCAGACTAAATTGATAAATAGATATGGATGTATTAAATAAATGAATACAGAAATTGATCCCATTTTTTAAAAAAACAAAGCACCCGATGAAGTCATGGGATATTATGGCCAAAAGAAATTACATCATGACAAGGTGCAACTGTAATATTTTGCCAATATTTTGAGCTGACTGAGTTGCATGGTTTTTCCAAAGGCCTTGATCCATGTGTGTTTTTGTTTACATGTGCTTATGGACTGATAATGCTGCAGGCTGACTACACAGCTGGTAGCCTGATTTTTCTAGACTGAGGACTGAACAGACATGCATGGATGATTGGTACTGCTAATCTTGTTCTGTGTGAGGGTTAAGGGATTCTTCTTGCTTGCAAATGTCAGTGCACAGCACACGGGATTATCTCAAGCATGTCTGATTTTCACATGTTAATTTATCTAAACAAATCTGGATAGAGGGAGCAGAACAATTTGATGAATGATTAAAGAAGTAATCAATGCTCAACAGTCTTATGTATGATAAAGTGGTTCCCAATGAATCTCAATTAGTCTACTAGCCTCATTTGCAAATAGATGCTTTTAGCTTGTAAACACAGATGAAGTTAAATGTCATAATTTGAACTTGAGATTCAAATGATTTTACGTGAAACGGAAATACTGATATATATATATATAGAGAGAGAGAGAGAGAGAGAGAGAGAGAGAGAGAGAGAGAGAGAGAGAGAGAGAGAG